ATTACCCTGACTGACATTTCAGACAAAGTTTCAAATAGAGTTGGCCTGCCTTACCACCTTCTACAAACTGTCCCCACTTCTTTCAGAACAGGTATCTCTCAACAATGCCAGTATGTATGGTATACTAAGAATGTTCACAGAAGACCGACAGAGTACGGAGGTGAGGGATAGAAAGAGAATTAGAAATCAGAGAGGAGATAACGCCACCTCTACCTCCCTATGTGGCGACAACCCTCCTACTGACCCTCCTCTTACTTTGAGCAGCAGACTAGGCCATTGTGAAGCCCACTATAAGTACATTCTCATTGTGATAATAAATCGCAATGTTCAGAGAGCAGTTCTCCAAAACTGCAACGCAGATATGACACCAAGATGGCTCGAACAGATCTTGTTACCAAAAACAAAACCAAAGAAACAGCATCTGTCTCTTCTAGAGCATTCAATTCCCAGTTCAATTCCATTTGCTCCATCCGCAGAGTGGCAGACCCGCAGGGCACTCTTCATGTAACACTGTTTCTATGGAAACACCATTCCCAACCTGGAAGATCCTACAACCCCTCATACTGGCTTTATCCACATGAGAGGAAAGTCTGATAAATCAGAAATTGAGACATAAAGTTGGCCACACATATACAAAAATATTTTCTAGGCTGGAAGCTCACATACACACATACACATACACACACACACACACACACACACACACACACAACAAGCAAATGAAGGACAAACACATGCAACAAATATGTGTATTTGACTTAAAAACAAAGTTTGTAAGGCCTAACCCAAGGAAATTCACAAGATCAGTGAAAAGATAGGGACAAAGCCAGTCAACACCAAGCGTTGTGCTTTGAGTGCCTTTACTGAATCTGCAGGCATGTCTCAAAGATCTCCACTCCCTCCAGCTTTCAGGATTCCTGAAATCCACAGAGGTTCCATGCAGGAAAATGGACCCACTGCACATTTTAAATAAGACCTTCGTAACCACCTTTCTATCCAGATTATATTTAAAACTGTAACATGGTAAGGTAGGCAAACAAAAAAGAAAAAAAGACCCATGATTTTGACCTGAAACACTTTACGTATTACTTTCCCTCATCTCAGGAGGTCCTTGAATACATCTTTGCACCACAGTATAATAAAAGATCTGGGAGAGAACAGAACCCAGATGAAGCCCTTGGACACAGCAGTCACTTACCATTGGAATAATGCCATGGAGAAGAAAAAACTTTGATGCAACATAGTTCTCTGAACTGATTTTGACTCATGAACATATCAAGTACTTTTTAATTGCTTACAATGATTTATCTCAGGCAAATGCAAGCATTTCAACTAATAAATGCTCTTATTTTCTTTCTAATTCTCTCTTATTATCTAAACCGTGTCAGTCATTCTTTACAATTGCAGGGAATCATTTCTTTGAAGACACTCTGACAAATGTTCAGCTAAGTCTAAGCTGAGAACTGACTGCACTGAAATGTTGTTTCACTCCATAGTCACCAAAATTTAAAACTTGGTTCCTTTTATTGCTTTAATTATGCAGGAGCCTGTGCAGGTTGGCTGGCTAGAGACTGTGAGCCCCAGAAAGAGCCTTTACCTCTCTTGGAGCTGTGCAATGTGGTGCTGATTCGATCTACCTGTGGCTGGCTACAGACCAAGGCATTTTCTTCCCATGCAGCTGGGGGCAAAGCCTATTCTCCTTTGACACACAAATGCTTGAAAGGCTTTTCAAAGGCAGATTGTTTTTTACCTGAATAAACTCAATAGAAGGATTGGTCCTTCTATTTTAAAGGGGAAAAAAAAAATAACCTAGCATTTGCTTTCTACAAGGTGTTTCAGGTTTTAGAATACACATTTTGGCATTTAAGAAAAAAATCGTTTATAATTTGCTAATAAGTTATCAGCCAGAGTTTCAATTGCCCTTTTATATGGAGCAAGATTTCGGAAAGGATTTTCCAAATAATTGCATTGATCACATAGAAATAATGTGATCATTTAAAATTTGTGAATGGTCTTTCTAATGAAGACTGTGCATCTCTAAAGAGCTCTCAGAACACCAAGTAAAGTTACCACAGAGTCAGTACAAATTTGTGGGGCATACAACGACACTGTCTTTCATATCTACAGGGTTTTTTTCCCCACAGAGTTTATTGCAACCAGCCCCAGCCTGTAACTGTACCTAAGATGCCCAGGCATTCCTTCAGGGTAAGAGAAGAAGGGAAGGGTACTCCTTGAACATGGAAATCCACTTGCTCTCCCCTTAGAGAAGGGCAGGGAGTCCTCACTGGGAAAAGAAAAGGAGTAAAATTTTTGGGCCCCTCAGCTTTGCTTTTAGATGATGCTTCCAGAGTGATAATCTTTTAGGGGCTGTTATTGTTATCAATACTTCTGTATAAACAGATGGCACTGGACTGGATTGGGGTGAAAATGCCCAGCAGGAACTGCAAGGCAACTTCCACAGACAGTCATAGAAAGCTGGAGAGACCTGGAGAGAGCTCCCTCCCTTCCAGAGCAGAGACCCAGGTCAGTGACTCAGGGCAACCAGCCAGGCCTCCTGAAATCACACTGTTCATGGGTAATTTCCATTCAATGGTCCCAGTAACACATAATTCACATATGCATTGCAGTGTAGGTAAAATAATGCTATTAGAAGGGATTTGGCTTCTGTTTGATTTTTTAAGACAGTATATAGTTCCCTGCAATGTTCTTCAAAGGGTGCAGCCCAGAAAAACAGGCAGTCTGAAAAATAACTCGCTTCTCTCTCTCCTGATTCTGTCTGAACCAATATTTGATTATATTTTATTCAGGGACATCTCAGCTCCAAGTCACTCAAGAGCTCCTTCTCAGACTGAGAGGGAGCTGAAGAAATCTGTTTTATTTTTCCTGTTAATATAGGAGACAGCAGTAGTTTGTCTATGACTCCAGGACACCCCGATTCTGTTCTCCTACTCCGGAGCAGGTCAGCTGGTTAGCTCTGGGGTGGACTCCTAGCTTCCACACAGAAACACACTTGACCAGTTGTCACTTCTTATCAAAATACCATGCTTTTATCATATGCCTCGAACACCACGGTCCCCCTTCCGCAGAGCTTGATAAGCATCAATACGAAGCTTAGACAAGGCAGACCTTAAAACACTGACCTACATGTAACACAAGTCAGATAAATAATGGAACAAGGGTCAGATTTTAGGGAAATCCAATATGATGTCAAAAATGATAGCAGCTAAAGCCACTAGCTTCCAGCGCTGACCGTCTCCTGAGATTTATTCAGAAATGCTCAGCACTGTCTAACCCTGTTTTGAATCACAGTAAGAAGAAGATTATTTTTAGGTATTGCTACTGTTCTCAGTTTTTACTGCATTCACTGGTGCTGGAAAATAAGGACTGTGAGTGTGGAGGTACAGCCTCTATCCAGGGGAGCAGAACGAAGGGGGCCTGCAGATAGCCACGAGCATGCACCTTTCTACCCAGACAGCTCACTTAGGAACACAGCTTAGAAAGTAGGTAAGGAAGTGAGGTCAGCAGGCTCTGGGCCTTCAGTTTGAGGGGAAATGTCTTTAAGGAAAACAATCTAAGTTTAAAATAGCTCTTCTATTAAAACCAAAGTCAGAAGGAGCTGCTTTGCTTGTTTTAGATATTTTATTTATTATTTTTATTTTATGTGTATATGTATTGCTTGCATGTATATAAGTGCACCTGTGTTGTGCAATTCCCAAGGACATCAGAAGATGGCGTCAAATCCCCTGGAACTGGAGTTACAGACGTTTGTTAGTCACCATGTGGGTGCTGGGAATTGAATCTGGGTTCTCTGAAAGAACAGCCAGTACTCTTAACCACCGAACCATTTCTCTAGCCCCTTGCTTTGTCTTAAATTAATTAATTAATATATTAATTAATTAATTAATGTTTGTGTGCATGTATGTAAGTGCACCCATTGTGCAATGCATGGAGAGACCAGAAAAGGGTATTGGATCCACTGGAACTGGAGCTGCAGATGGTTGTTAGCCACCATGTGGGTGCTGGGAACCCAGTGCTCTTAACCACTGAGACATTTCTCCAACCCCAAAACTGAAGTCAGGAGTTTTTAACATGCATTCATCTACGTACCTCATTTTAACCTGTCCAAATTCATCTACAATATTGAAAATCCTCTGACCATTTGACCAATTTTTTAAAATATTATTTATCCTTAAATTTTCATTTTGGCTTCTTCCTTAGATGCCATTAAACTCAAATGCACTTACAAAATATCCACCAAAAGATTGAGATTATAAATATCTTTAACATGAAATTCATTCAGAACCCTAAGCAAACCAAACAAATTCCCCACTGGCTAAAGGCCCAGTCTCCGGTTTCTCACAGCTCCGGGAGGATTCCCGCAGTGAACACAGCAGTGCTCACACAGACAATATAAACTGCTACTCTGCTTGAAAAGTCACCAGGGACTGCACAGGAAGGGCTGGCTCTGTATTGCTGTTTTCCTTTACAGTTCTAAATGCAGGGAGGACTTTCACCGAGCGCGCTGACTCACAGCACTGTGGCAATGGAAGGCTCTATTCAAGCTACTTCACAGCAGATCATGCGATCGCCTTGCCATCGCAATATGAGAACTTTTTGTGGAACATTCACTATAAAGGTCCACCAAGCATTCGTTACAGATATGTCTATGGGGTTGGTTTTACTTTCTTAGAAAGTTAACTAGTTCTAAGTACTTCAGAATCACACTTAGAAAAGCAATGCCATTAACATACATAATACATACTTAAAATCACAAATACACATGAACTTAGTCCTAAGCCTTATAACTTATGAAAATTAATAAAATTACAATCGTGAACTTTATAGCTCCTTATTTAGGTATGTAGCTAGGAAACCTAGCTAACCCTAGGTTAAAACCTGGGAACACAGAGATTTATGAAGTCCAGAGGGATCATTTTTCTCTATCAAAACTGGTTCATTGTCCATATTTAGTTTACATATGTCATTTAGAATCCACTTACTGTTAGATGCTGGAACAGCCACGCCCTCATGATATTGGTGGCTACTTTGGGAAAGATGCCACGCTTTTTGTGACGCTTTTTGTCCTTATCAGGGTCATCATCGTCACCTGTGCTGGGGGAAGCTACACTGTTGTCCAAGCCATCACCTGCAAACATAGTGAATCAAATTTTGACTGATGCTACCTTGACATACTTCATTCAAATAGAATGCCTTTGGATACAAACAAAACTAAAAGAGCAGTTCAATGATTAATAGTTTTTTTGGCACTTTTTTCTTCAAGACAAAGAGAAAGAACAAGGTCTAGGCTCAAAAATAGTCATGTTTAAAGGATGTCTTCCAAAGATCAACGCTAAAGGTCAAAGGGAAGGGAGGGAAATATCCAGTCTCTTTAGTGGCTTTATTACCATGGTAATTACTCCAATAAATGCGGTACCACTACATGGGGGGGGGGTTAACCGGGGTAGCACTCTTAACAGTGGGGTCTCTGCCTGGGTATTTGAACTCCACAGAAAGTCACTGAGGTTGACTTGTGAGAGGGCACATGTATAAGACAGTAGCTATTTCCACAGGTGCTGTATCTTAAAACTAGCTAAAGTAGGGTAGGAAATGCAGGCAATCTATCCCATAAGCAATTTGTCACAGGAACACTTCAAATGGGATGTACATTTTCTTCCAGTAGGAAGAGCATCACATTTAGAAAGGGAAAACCCCGATTCATAGTTTTTAAGAGAACAATTACTATTTATTTGATTTTTAAGATTTCACTTTTATTTTTATGTGTATGTGTATATATCTGTGTATGCTATGTGTATGTGTGTTTGTGTGTTGTGTTCTGCGTAACCAAACTCAGGTCCTCTGGAAGAACAGCAAGTGCCCTTAACCACTAAGCCATCTCTTCAACCCCTAGAAAATGATTATTATTTAAATCAAAGTAATGCTAGAATTACATCACACTAGTAATCTGGAAAGTTGCTAAAATTTCTTCTAGATTTAAAGTTTATTGAGACATTACCTGGTAATTTTCCTCTATTGAATCGTATTTTTCTACTGATTTTATTATGAATATTTAGATTATTTTAGAAAATATTTTGACTCAGAAAAAAAGAAAATTTTACCCATAAAATTGCATGAACCCAAATAAGTCACAAGATATAAATCAGAAAGTCATTTTTTTTAAATCTTGGCTCCAAAGGGCAAATAACACTGCACTCAATCCACTGCACTGAAAAGCAGTTCCGCTTTGTCAAACCTCCTGCTCCCCTAGTAAGCTGCCTGAGGCCCCACTGTCCTCTTCCTGTATGTGAGTTTTAGAAATGGACTGTTAGAAATGGACGAATTAATCTGGGTCCTCAAAGAAGAACTGCAGAGGCCAGGCTTAGAAATGACATAACAAATACACCCCTGGGCACATTCACCCCCATTAAGCAAGTCATCAGAGACTTATGACCCAAAGAATTTGATACTTTAGCAAGACAATTTTCCTGATGGCTGACACACTGGAACTAGCATCTGATCGGTTCCATGGACTCAGCTTTGGGGCTGATAAGCTCTACTCTGGGTCCCACGTACCAGCCTGGTCTACATAGTGAGTTCCAGGCCAGCTGAGGCTACAGGGAAACCCTGTCTCAAAAAGACCAAAAAAAAAAAAAAAAAAAAAAAAAAAAAAAAAAAAAAAAAATCTGCTTTGATTTCAGTTATTCAGTTCCTTATGGGGGTTGGGTTGCAGCTCTTTACTTATTAAGAGTTCTTTCAGGAGACCCACTCCCCATTGCTGTAGAATAAGTTAAATATCCCCCTGGTTTTTCCAACTGCCTCGATGTGTCCTGATAAACTCATCAAACTCTGCTGGGTGAGCAGCAGGTGGACTTCAACATTCCTGCCTTTATCTCAGCTGCCCCCATCATAAGCTTCTGCTGAACTTCTTGCAATTTAACCTTTATTGAAACCCACAATTTTCTTGCATTTAAAATCTATGTAGGTTGTGAATTTTTCATGAATTTATAGCCTGGGTTCTTCTCAGAAGAGATCATGAAGACCCCCAATTCCAAAGCATCATCCCATCCTCCAAATGAAGAAAGACCTGCCTCTGTCACATGGCCGGGCTGGCCCGTGCTGAGGTGTCTGCTGGACCAGGCACCCACATGCCCAAGTCAGGGCTCCTGCCACCCTGCCTACTCTTCACTTTCATAACCAAGTGTTTTATGAGAAATCCCCTTGGGTTTGCCTAATAAATTCTTTGAAAGTCCAGTATTTAAAGAAATTTCTTATACAGAGAAGCAATTCTCCATATAAAATAACAATTCATTAAAGAAAGATGAGAAAAGAAAACAAGTCTGCAGCATTTAAATTTCCAATGACCAATCCACTTTGGATATGCAAAGGGTGGCCAAGGAAAAGAAACATACGACTTGATCAGTGATTAAAAATGAAAAGCTTCTAACCTAACAATGCTGTTTTCCCACCTCTCCGTGATAGGTTCCACCTTTTAAAAAACAGCCTTTGTATCCATCTCAACCCCCTTCAGATTAATTTAGCAAGCAATGCCCGGTGCCTGCCTAGCAGAGAATTCATTGATAATTTATGGAAATATCTACCATAATCCAGTGGAGATGACTTTTTCCCAGCTTTATGCATTAATAGATAATCAAGGCCTTAAAGCAGCCTTAGCTTCCCATTACCCCAGGCTAAAGAATTCCTGAAAGCGTGCCTTGAGGGCACCTGAATTATATACTCCATTAGGAGGGAGGCTTTCTGCATTCCGCGTGTAACACTCACCAGAGCCTTTCCTGTTTATTCCTGCTGTATGAAAGCAGAAGCATTAGCAACAGAATTTTTTTAAGTGGAGACTTATGTAGATACAATGGTGAAGCCTTTCAAGCAGGAGCCGGATCACCCCGTTCAGTCCCTGGCAGTGACCTCTCCCGAATAAAAGGTTTCTGTTACATCATTAGCTCAAGCCAAAAACAGCCCTGGCTTAATGCACAGTTTGTTCTTCCTACTGTTTTTAGGCAAATACAGCTACTTTACTCCCATCTGGGAGGGAAATTACACTGCTGGGTTGTAATCTAAGACAAGATTTTCATTGGAAGCAAATGCTTTCAATCCAGTGTAAATACTGGTGCATGTTCAGAAAAGCCTAAAACAATAAACCCTGCTCCTTCCCGACACAGTTAGGGAAATGGAGAAGACGGGGACAAAGAACAGCATAATAAAACAGAGTTATTCTAAAAGCAAACACTTTCATAGATTTTAATAAATTGTTTAACCTCTTCCACTTTCTAAAATTGAAAATTGATCTCGGATCGTCTGGCCCTCAGAGGAGAGTCTAAACCCTGCAATTGGATACAGTCACCTCAATGTGATCTCCAGAGGATTTATTTCCTTTTTTTATTTTTAAGATCACTAAACAAACTTGGAGGACTGCAGCCGACCACACGGCAGCAGGCCATAGCTCTGAAGCCCATTTGTAAAATGTCAGCAGTGACTTCATTCCTGGAGCTGACTTCTCCTGCCGCCAAATGAAGGCAAACTGAAAAGGTGGAAATAATCATAAAAATGATGCTACTCCATAAACAAGCTTACAGCCTCATTAGGGTAGTGGTGGGCTCCACTGGGTGATTTATGCTCGTTTTGCTGATGCTATGAGGAAATGCCACAGGGCGACTTTAGCCAACTGCTAATGGTTTCTGACAGCTTCTTAGCAACTAGTGCAAGCAACGTTGTGGCGTTTGCTAGTGACAGAAACCGAAAATGTCATATTATCTGCCCATGTGTCATGAAGTCCGCATGGCAATTAACTAGTAGGCCAGTGACTGAGGGCCGGAGGCTCCTGAAAATGGCCTTTGGCTATGCAGAGGCTGCCAAGGCAGGTGCTGTGTGCACACTGCTGCCCGCATGCAATATTCTAATGCAGAAATACACTCCCTGCAACTTCCTGGGCTCTGATGAGAGCAGAACAGGCCGTTCGCATTCCTTTCTTCCCCCACTGATGTGAATCTCTGAGCTCTGGCTCTGATGCTATCAGAAGACTCTGGAGCATTCTGCTTTGCTGTGACTAATTGGCAGTACCTGGCCCTGTGCTTTTGGACACTGGATTCTAAGGTGCTAGCTATTTTTCTGCTCGCTCACAAATTAGTCTAAAAGGATTTAAGATCACTGAAGCAGAGTCATTGCCTGTCAGATTGCAAGAAGCAAAGGGACTCTGCACAGCTAAAGGTACCAGTCTACCAACACCAGGCTTCTAACAAGCTGGGGAGAATCTTGGCCACACTTTTCAGTTTCTAAGCTATCAAAACCATGCACTATATGTCAAACTGTCAAACCTTTCAACGTGGGCCATTTGCCCTTTCAAATAATATTTAAGGATTGTTTTTACAAATTTTTATAGGCCATGGTCTAGTGAAAGAGGCCAACCAACAAAGAAAGGAATTTGTACTACAATTCGTCTACGGACAATTTCTTGTGAGACCTGGGCCTGTCCCTATGGAACAAGGCAGGTGACCTGTGGCAGCTCCCAGGCTGTCAGAGAGCTCAGATTTCAAACACACTCAACTCAAATATCCCAAGTCGCCTATTTAAGCATGCCCAGGCATTTAGACTGTGCTATCTCCCGCCTTTCAAGGCAAGATAAAGCAGCGTTTATGGTATTCAGACCATTCAATGGGTCAGACTGACCATGTCAGCAGGGAATCCTCCTTGGTGGCAACAGGTCGAAGCTCCCTCCCATTTTTCTATCTACTATCTCTCCTTCTCCTCCAGGGCTGCCAATTCCCCCTAAAAAACCTACTGGGAGAGGGGCAAAAACAAAACTCTAAAAAGGACCTACAGTTTATAGCACACTGATTGGAACCCCTCCTGTCCTGTCAGTGGGCCACCAGGTAAAAAAAAAGTGGGTTGTGTCAAAGGCCCTCTGTGTCATAGAGGAAAAACGCCCAGTTAGGAAAATGAGCTTTCATCTGCCAGGGCAAATGGAAGTGAAAGATTGGGACCCTCTTGTTTCAAGCTGGAAGTTACCAGACACTCATAGGTTCAAGAACATTTTCATTTACACATTTGTATGGAGACTCCACAGTTAAGTCACATCCTGTCTTTGATCTTTACTTTTCTTCTCTTGCAGCATTTAAAAATACAGTGTCTTGTCCCCAA